GGGCACAGGCATGCACAGGGGCAGGCAGAGCCAGGGAAAGCAGCCTGAAGGGGTGACTCTTACATTACATTTCATATTATATGGGAAAATAATATAAGCATCAATTAACAGCACATTAATAGATAATATGTTTATATTATAATGTTAATATCTAATCTGCACATCACAGAGCAACATTCTCACAAAAGGACTCTCAGATTGCCAGAGGAATACACTTCCAGCTTCTGTCTCCCTTGTGTAAAATGAACTTTATTTTCTTCCTAGAAGAACTTTTACAATCTTTCAATTCTCCTCCGCCTAATGAAGGGTGTGTGTGCCCGAAAGCTTAAAAGAAAGATTTTTTTTGGCCACTATTTAGTTGGTCTAATAAAAGATATCACCTCTCAACCAAGAGCTTTGTGCATCTCTATAATGTTCATATGATATTTTTATTCGTTTTTTTAATGGAGTGCTGCTAAATCCTGCCAATTTGTGGTGGGCTGCCTTAAGTCTAAAACAGGTTAAGAACCACTGCTTTAAGGAGTAATTCACTGGGCTTGGCTTCAATTACTGCAGCATAAGAGCAGCCAGACAGAACAGTTTCAACAGGTCGGCTGACACGCACTCATGATCAGTAAAATCCTCCCCTCCAGTTTGAAGCAGCATGGTTCTTTGTTTCTTCACATCCTTAATCCAATTAAAACCTTTATACTGATTAAGCCTAATTTGGTAAGGAATCATTTCAAATAAAATATAAAGCAGCTGTAAATCAGATTAAGAGTAGGCACACTGGCTTGCACTGATTTAACTTAATTTCAATTTAAGCCAATTTGTAATTAAATATGTAACATGTAAATGACTTACTCATGTCTAGGATTTGCTTATTTATTCTCCACCAGCATTTGGTAGGGCTGTGCAAAACAGCACTGTTCTACTTCGACTTCCATTTCAACGGAACAGAGTTTCATTTCGAGTTTCCTTTTGTTTCAAAAGCACTGTTCCGTTTCGTTTCGTCAAAAGTGTTTCGATGCTGTTTCACTGTTTCGCCTGTAAGCCATTCCACAGCCAGCACTGGGAAGTTCAGTGCTGCCTCTGGCCCCAGCTCACAGTACCAGCCTCCTGTGATCCGGGAGGCAGATCAGGGGCCCACACCCCTGGCAGTCCGGCACAGCCCCCGCAGCCCTCCTGGGGGTGTGGGCAAACCCCCGATCTGCCTGCCAGATGACAGGAGGCTGGTGCTGCCAACTGAGACTGGTGCAGCAGCCAAGTAAGCCTGGCTTTGAAACTCGAAACGTTTCAAAACTTTTGAAATGTTTCAAGTACCCTTGTTTAATTTCAAAGCTGTTTCGAAGGTTTTTGTTTCATTTTGATTTCACTGTTTCGAGCTTGAAACGCATCAAAATAACTTTGAAATAAAACACCGGGTGAAATTTTGCACAGCCCTACCCTTTGGTGGCCAGGCTGATTCTGATGGTGTTTACTAATGCCTTGTACAATGTGGTTTTCTGATGTGGCTTAGAAGGCCAGCTCACTGCCCTTTCTGCGAGTCTTTTCACAGCACCTAATGAAGTGAGCTCCAGCTCACAAAAGCTTATCCTATATATATTTCTAATTTGGTTAGTCTATGAAGTGCAAATCTACCTTGCCTTCTGCTTTACGGCACGCTAACACAGCTTACTATGTTTCACTCCCTCTCAGAAACTAACTGTTACCATATACCAAGAGAGGTGCTTAGCTGCATCAGTCTGAAGTCAGACAGAAGGCAGGGCAGCGTGGCACCCTATAGACTAATTCAGAGAGGCATAAGCTTTTATAACCAACAGCTTACTTTGTCAGATGCTACCTAAGCTGTTGTTTATGAAAGTTTATGCCTCACTGAATTAGTTAGTCTATAAGGTACCACTCTGTTCTGCCTCCTGCTACCATATAGTTTGTGGCTTCTGATAGCTGGGGTTTTTTTGCACCTTTCTTCTGAGAGTCCCAAAGTACTTTAGAATATTAGCTGTGTGTGCCTGAAAGTCCTAGGTAAACTGAAGCAGAAAGGACATATGATTGTGATGCACTGTCACTAGTGAAGCTGAGCACGAGACAAGTCTTGCCTTAATTTCCTCTGCTCTAGTTACTGAACAGGGATGGTCACCAAGAGAAGAAAGCCTACGTACAGTCACTAATTGCAGAGCCATCCACTCTCCCCTCAGCACAACATTGCCCAGTTTAGTAAGTGGCAGAAATTGTTCCACATAGAGTAATGTTTCTTTAAAACAGGCTTTTGAAATGAAACACTGCCACTGCTCCCTGCTACCACAGTCAATGCATGGGCCAGCTGGCCTGAAGTACAAGATACAGTTACATGTTGTACTGCTGGAGATTTGCATTTAGGAGGATTGGCTTGGGAATGACTTGCCTGGACAGGAACACTTCCTAGTGGGGTGATGTGGGGACATTGCCTACCCATTTGGGAGCCAAAAGTCTGACTATGCCCCTTTAATTTAGATTTGGCTCAATTACGTGTGTATGCACATGGGCGTAACAGATTGGAATCTGACCTTTGTCTTTTTTCCTAACAAGTTTTCTGAATACAGGAGCTTATTTTAACAGAACTGTAAGGACCACACTAGCGTTAGAGCCTACCCCACTAAAATTACAGAGCAACAGGAATCCCAAACATCAGAACATTTCCCAGGATCTGTGCAGATCCCTGAGAAGTACCAGCTCACACCCAGGCACCATCTCCCTGGCAGTGCAACCAAAAGCTAAGCCAGGAGCCCCTCTAAGGAGACTGTAAGGTGTGGAGCAGGAACTGGGACTGCGTATCTGGGCACCCCATTCTTTGCAATTCAAGGAGCTTGGAGGAGGAACACGTAACTGCTGCTTCCTCCTTTCTTCTCTAATACAGATGCCAGCCCCCATAAAACACCCTCACAGGGCTAAGGGGAGCAAGTACTGACCCTTAGCCTCACATGGAGGGACCCTCTGCACCTAAATCTACAGATACAAGTGAGCTCTGATTTATCAAATGGGTTCAGATACCTAAAGATCCTCTTCTTTTGCGAAGCAACTGACTTCTCATTCTTCCTGCTCATCCCAGGCAAGATGAAAAGCCTGGAGAAACAGAACTGAACCATTCCCTATGTGGACTCTAGTCTGGAATAATTTGGAAGGGCACTAATTTTTCTGCAGTAGAGCATGAAGAGCATCTGCAGTACTGCATCCAGTAGAGTCTATGTGGGGAGCCATCTTAGCCAGTTTCCTCAGGTACAAAATCCCAAGTCTAAAGTATCCTCTGTAAGCTTTACAGGAGCTGTGCATGAGTATGAAGGTGCCTACGCACAGCTTATGGAAACTACAGCAGATGGCAGCAGGGGAACCAGGAAAGGATATTTAGGTGTAAAATCTTAATTTCATTCCATGGGCTGGTCCCAAGAAGCTTCCTGTACAAAGGACACATCAGCTACTGCCTTCTGTTGGCCAACAGAAGCCAGGTGAGTTGCAGTACTCAGGGTGCTGGGTGCATTGGGTTCATTGGGGAAAGCTTCACTGGGCCTCATCTGGTGAAAACAAATCTGCTGTGACATCAATGGCATGATGCTATTTGTTCCTAGGGGGACCTGGCCCCAAAGGGACCTCAACATAAACACCACTGCTAATGCTGGTCTCCCCTTCAGATGGTCCCCTGATATCTGTGGGATTTTACCACCTGTGAGTCTGTGCCACAGCTGTGGTTGGCAAGGCTAATGCAGTCTGGGCAGCTGCTGCAGCAGACACAGGTGGCAGGTTGGGTTGTGGCTTTTACACAACTATGCTGTTGTTTTCACTTTCTCTTTATTCACAGCATGCCTAATCTCCTGGCCTGCTCACCACACCATTGACTGCTTTGGCACATAACCAAGAGCAGGAAGGCTCCAGTTCTTCCTTTCACAGGCTTCCCACAGCTGGGGCAAGAGGTTGTTTGGTTTGTTGCACCAGCTGGTATGGAAACAGCAGTGGTTCAATACTTTAAAGTGGCTTGGTTAGAAGAGGAGAAGGAATGCGAAGGGCTATGTGCTGAGATGCTAAACAAATGGACAGGAAGTGACTTTGTAGTCTAAGAGGAAGGATACTTTCCCCTTGCAGCTCTTACATGAGGTTCTGTTCCAAGCAGGTTTGCTTAGAAGAAAAGCCAAGATACTATGCCTATAAGCCAAATCCTTCCATCTGGACATGAGTAAGTAACAGGACAGTCATCCAGGAGATGTCTTCACAATCACTCTGTCACCTGCTCACCCTCCAACACACTTTTGACCACTCACATGTGAAAGAAAAGCAACTTGATTCTACCTCACCCATTCAGGTGGGGGAGAAAAAAAGGCCAGAAAATGTGGGAGGGAGTGGAATGAGAGACAGGAACACAGGGAGGAAAGAAAAGATGCTGAAAGCAAAAGAAGTTAGAAGCCAGATCAGGGGAGAGAGAAAAAAAACATTTGGAGATAAAGAGAATTTAGAGAAAGTTAAACAAAAGAATAAAAAATTAATCTGAAGGGAAAATTTCTGCTCCTAAAAAAAGGATTCCCCAAGATACAGAAAGAGGAAAGCAGGAAACAAAGAAAGGAGGGAGCCAGGCAGGCTGGCTACAGTCCTCAGGAGAAACACCAGTGCAATGCCACAATGATCTCAGACTGTGTCCACGGAGACAATGGGTCCAAACCAGCTAAGGATTTGTCTCATCAGATGATTTTAAAACTTCCCTCAGACAACTGGTAACTGGCTTGACTTTAACACAACAAAGGCTAAATCCTACCTGGATAAATAATTTGTCATGCAGCAAGGGCAGCTGTAGGCACTCAGATGTGCATCGGGTTTAAGAAAAATCCAGCTGGTGGATTCTTGCTGCGCAGTATCTGGTCCAACACCACTTGTATATCTCTTCTCTCTGTAGCAAGCGCCCTGGGTGGGGGCACACAGTAATCACTGCTGGCCAGCAGCCTCCTGTTATATCACCTAAACATCCCACCCCGGTTCCTGGCACACATCCTGGTGTTAAGTTAACTTCGCCTGCAGTGCATTGTTGGGCACTTTTAATACAACCTAGCTGTCACCACCACACAGTTGCAGCTTGTGCTACTGCATGTTGCTGTTCATATCATTTTTCTCTTGCCCAGCCAGTTTAAGCAAAGGTCCCTGGACCAATGACTCAACTACATCCCTATGTTGGGGCCAGAAGGAGTTAACGGTTACCCCAGTGACAAAAAACAAGAGAGAAGACTCATCTCCAACTGAATGATTCAGATGATCTAAGGCAGATGGCAGCAGATTAACTGTAATGCTCTGTTACTGAAATGCAGCCATTATAAATATCTCGAATGCATGCAGACCAAGTGGCAACCCCCACAGCTAAGTGTCCTTACAAGTCTGCTATCGGCAGCAAGCATGAACACCTGAAGCAGCCCAAATTAACAACTAGCAGAATTCTTCCTGAACAGCAGCCCCAGTTGTCAGGGGAGCTGAGACAGGTCACTCTATGCAGAAAAGACTGAAAGCTCCACTGGGATATCCATTTGGGGAGGATACAGGTTGAATGAACCAAAAGGCTCAGAGCCTGACCCAGCTCCAATTGAAAATCAGTTTTAACTTCAAGACCAAGCCTTCGGTTGCTTTTGGTTTTTGGGATTAAATAGGCTCTTGAGAATTGCTGGACTCTCTTTTAGCTCCAAAAGTTTCTAGCCCCTCCAGGTACAAGTCCTGGAGTAGCTTGGGGAAGTTCAGGGGAATAAATCTAGATGCTTTTGCTATAGAAAGTGTGCAACGCCTCACTCTTTAGAGAGAGGAAGGTCTTGGCTCTATGAAGAACCCCTAGGCAGCCAGGAGCCACCCTCCCTTTTGCCTCTTCCTGCTCTAGTCAGGAGTGCTCCAAATGGAACACACCACCCACGGCTGTACCCACCTAGGCGCAGAAGTATACTGGACACCTCTGCCAGCTTGCCACCGGGGAAAGGTGCACTGTATTCAGGTTTGCTCCAGCCGATGCCAACCCGAATCAGCCTGGAATGTATGTAGTCTCTACAGAGCACCTTGGCCTGGGACACCAGCTCCTTGTCAGTGGGAGATCGGTCAAAGACCTCCATCACCTCCGCAGCGAAGACTGAGGAGCGGCGTAGCACCTCCATCTCTGACAATGGAATCCAAGGGTTCAGGGTGCTCCTGTTGGAAATCTGCTCCAATGTCACTGATGAGAATCTGCTGTTGTCATTTATAAGAAAAATAACCCATTGGGTTCATGATTTGTCACAGCTCCCAGCGGGGATTTTGAATGAGCCTTCTTCTGCTTTACCTGGTGAAAAAAAGAATGTATGAGTTGACTAGCTCACAGGGAAAGAAAAAGAATAGGAGCCAGAACTCCAGGGGATCTGCACCACAATGCCATTGATTTAAGTGACACTACACTGATTTATGCCAGCTGAGGATCAAATCCATTGAAACTTATAGACAACTGGCCAAATCCTGCAATCACACTCCCATTATCTACAAAGGGAGTTCTGCCCAACTGAGCATGAGAAGACCTGAGCTAAAAGGTGTTTTGCTTTTCCCCTTTAAGAATCAGCAGTAATGGTATTATATTTCAGAGAAAGAAACAAAATCTGGAAACAATTTGTAGACTGTGTAGATAACCACAGCTTGTTTCAATTAAATTAACTAGACAAAGCAAGAGTCCCACATTCTGGCACAGATACAAATCCCAGCTGAATAGGCAAGGATCTTTTTGAAGGAAGGGCATCAGCGCACTGCAAATACAATGTTGCATTAGTGTTTCAATGTCCCACCAGCCTTTCCTCTCAGACAACAGTTTCTTGTTTAGCTCAGCTCAATTCTCAGTTTGGTTTTTGTTCATGTAGCTTTTCACTTTAAAAAAGCACTGTACCAGCTGCTTTTCTAAAGCCTTCCACCTGAAACTGTCCTAATGAAATGGAGAAGCAGAGGCTAAACTTTTCAAGCATGTGTACCTAAAATGAGGCTCCTAAATCCATTTATAGGCACATGGAGAAAAAAAGCTAGTTTACTTTAACAGGAGTTGCAGGTGATTAACATGCCTGGAAAAAGTCAGACCAAAGCTTTTCACTAATGTACTTATGAACAGATCTGAGCTTCTCATTTCTGGCACCCATATTTAAAAACTGAGCTAAAAGAAAAATCTCAAACGTTTACATTTTCCCAGTGAAGGAGATATTTACCCATCATGCTGCATTTTTCTCCTTGATGATTTTTGGCTGGTTTCACGTGTTGCTCTCGGTTCTTTGGAAGGTTCAGATCAAAAGGACACCTGGCTCTAGGATTTATAGAGCATAATGATTTTCCACTCCCATCCTCTGCTGGAGCTAAATAGCATCTGCCTGCTCTGGACTGCGCTCCAAGAGGCTCCAACCAGTTACTCTCTCCCCATCCTTCCAAATCCTATTTGTGCTCCAACAACGTGATCCCAGCACTTGCTCTGCCGCTTTTAAAAGACTGAGACAGACAGAGGAAAGCTTCTAGCTTTAGCCTTGTAAGGAAGATGAAATAACAAGGGGGTGGGGTTATTAAAGCCAGCTAGTATGGATCTCCCCACCCCTTTTTTTTCTCTTAAGGAGGCTCTGGGCAGTTGTACTGCTAGGTTAAGAGGGCTTCCCCCAAAAGATATCTTTATATCTCTTCCCAGTCCAAGCAGGACATTGCAGTAGGAAACCCAGGTCAACAGCATGCTCTGAATATACCATTAAAATGTTCACAAAGAGAAGTATCAATTCCTGACTGAGATGGAGTTTTGTGACATCCCTTGCAATCATTCTTACCTAATATCAGGTTACCAAGCCATGGAATTGCAGCAACTGGCTGGAGGGATGTGATGCTGCATCACTAAACACATTGTTAAGGTACATCTTGAGCTTAACACACAGAACTAGAGCTTAATTCTCGGGAGGGCCCAAGGGGGGTTGCGAGTTTTAATACCCAGAAGCAGGACCAGCCAAAGAAATGTGATGACTGTTTTTTGATAGGCCCCTTCCCACCCGCAAAAAACAGTCTTGCCAGAACTGAAGCGTCTTGTGGGAACACAACTATTTCAGCTAAACATTGAAATATCATTTTAACCTGATAAATTTAAAATGAAATTAAAATATTACAATATTTTAAAACATATATCAGTTTCATCATCAACTCAGAGCTGTGACATTTGCAAAAATGTCTTAACTGATCCATTATCAGAATATTTGGGAATTTTCATTCTCTGAGAAATTTAGAAATCTTTGACTTTTCATTCCAGACAAGAACAAAAGCATCATCTGACCCCAGCAGTCTTTCCTGCCCAAGCGCAGGGGGGCTAGACCCAATGATCTTATAAGGTCCCTTCCAGCCCCTAACATCTATGAATCTATGACTCTCAGGCACCATATTTAAAAATTGACTGAAAAGAGTACATTTAAACATGCATTTTCACAGTGAAGGAGGTGGCCATTCTCTTTCTGCAGAATAGACTTTCCAGTTATCTACTTATGGGGTTCCTCCCTCCTACTAAGCAAAAAGGAGTTTGCAGGGTGACTGGCTAAGCTCAGGGGTTGTTTGAGATGCAGCTTTTCCAGAAGCAGGGCAGAAGGGACTGGATGTTTGTTATCATCTGATGAGTGATTTTGTGGCCTCTGCGAAAGGCAATTTACTGACCTTTTTCCTGCAAAGTGCTGAGCAGTCTGGCCAGAATCCAGCAGAGAAATTAAGCACATGCATAAGGTTAAGCATATGCCTTGCTCCACTGATATCAATGGGGCTATGTTGGAAGTCGTCTGTTGGATCTGGCTCAGAAACTGGATTTTCATTGGAGCAATTGTGCTGGTGGATGAAACTCTGGTCCAGTCAAGGCTGATTGTTCAGTTTCTTTACAGTGGAAGCTTTCCATGAAGCACCCACCATGTGAGGTGGCGGTGCAGAGGTGAAGTGGACTTCTAAAAGTCTAGGTCAGTGGTTCCGGAGCTGTGATGAGTGAGGCTCTGGTGTGTGTTGTGTAGTCAGTTCGTGCAGCTTCTGCAGGTCTTTACAATTTTTTTTAAATTAAAAATGTGATGATAATGGTGCCTGCTGGTTTGTGAGAAATGTTGATGATCAATGATGTTCCATTTGTTTAAAACCACTGGTTTAGATTTAGTTGGTCAGTCATTATCATAGGATCATAGAAAATTAGGGTTGGAAGGGACCTCAGGAGGTCATCTGTTCCAACCCCCTGCTCAAAGGAGGATCATCCCCAACTAGATCATCCCAGCCAAGGCTTTATCTACCCTGGGTCTTAAAAACCTCCAAGGATGGAGATTCCACAACTTCTCTGAGTAAGCTGTTCCAGTGCTTCACTACCCTCCTAGTGAGAAAGATTTTCCTAATATCTAACCTTAACTTCCCTTGCTGCAACTTGAGATCATTGCTCCTTGTTCTGTCATCTGCCACCACTGAGAACAGTCCAGCTCCATCCTCTTTGGAACCACCTTCAGGTAGTTGAAGGCTTCTATTAAATCCCCTCCCAGGTTTCTCTTCTACAGATTGAAGAACCCCAGTTCCCTCAGCCTCTCCCAGTGGCGATGTGTAGGGGATGCACATCTGAGAATGCTGGTGTACCCCCTCACAGCCAATGTTCCTGGGCAGTGGGGGGCAGGTGAGAGTGCTGGTGCTCCCCCTGAGAACTGGCCGGGGAGTGGGGGCTCCAGGGCCCCCCCCCCCCCCCCAGCCAATTCTGTTCACCCAAAAGTGCCAGTGCCACATCCAGAAGTGCTGCCACTTTTCTGCGCAATTGGCTTTGGGGACTCCACCTGGTTGCTGCCTGGCTTCTGTGGGGGGCAAATGCCCCCCCAACTCAGGAGGCACCAGTTGCCCATGGCCTCTCCTAAGTCATGTGCTCCAGCCCCCTAACATTTTTTGTTGCCCTCCGCTAGACTCTCTCCTATTTGTCTATGTCCCAGGGCACTAACATGGGGGAACCAGAAATCCTGCTCTCAAGGGGCCCCAGGACGGGGACTACATACACAGAGGAAGAAAGCCCCAAACAAAAAGATTGCTTACCTGCCATAGGACAGCAGATGCCGAGGGAACAAGGAATGGAGCCTGCGCAGTTCACAAGCCGCGCCTATATACAGCTGGAGCTGGCGGGTGACATCAGGAGCAATCACCAGCCGGCAAAAATAAAAGGAAGGAACAAAAGTGAAGCAGGGGGAGCGAGAGAGGCAGCGGAGGCTCTCCATGCCAGCAGCAGGCAGTGCCAGCTTGAAGACAAACAATCTGAGCAGAAAGCAGCAGCGGAGGCTGTGGGGGCTCTCTATACTGGTGATGAATGGCTCCGGTATAGAAGAGCGGATTGCGTCTGGGGTAGGGCACCCTAAGCGATGGAGGAGGAACCCCACACCAGTTATACCACTGGTCAGCATGCAGAGGATGACATCGCTGTAGGAAGAGCTGTAGCAGACCCAGAGGAGGCGGAGGTTCTCCACTCTAGATACTCGCAGGTATCGGGCCGTGGAGGTAGGCTGACCAGGGAGGAGTTGAAGATAAGTCAACAGAGAAGTAATGTGGAGTAGCATCCAGGGGACACCGTCAAACCCTGGCCCTGGGGCAGAAGGAGGGAGTCAGTAGTCCATCCAGATCTTTATTTCTTCTTTTTGTTCTCCCTCTTGTTCCTTTCTTTGAGCTTACTGGTTTTGGGGTTCATAGTCACCAGTAGTGTGTATATAATCAGAGTATTGTTGTTGTGGTTTCTTCTTTCTGTTCCCCTCCTGTTAGCTCTTGAAGGGTCTCTGTGGTCAGGTCCACTTCATAGAGGACCTGATTCCCACCACGTCATCAGGGTGGTCCTGAGGCCCACTGTAACAGGGAAACCTAGCCCTGTTACCAGAAGGTAGGTTAGCCGCTTTAAAACCAGAACTTTCTGGGCACAGCATGCTGGTAAGGGGGGAGTTAAAAGCTGAGCCTGGCAAGCTAGTCAGCTGACCAGAAGGGGGCAGGCCAGGACTATAAAACCCTGGGCGGGGTGACAGTAGGGACCAGCAGCCAAAGGGGAAGGAGTGCATCCCAGAGCTCCCCAGAGAGGCTTGGAGAGTGGTCCAGTGGTTGCAGGAGGGGAACTACAGAGGACTCCTGGAGAAGTGGCAGCAACGTCAGAAGAAGGACTGTAGCACACGGTGGGGGATCAGAAGCACGAACCCCTGAGAAACTGTAAGCTGGCATGCTGCCTTCTTTAATCATATTTTCTTGGTGGCAGTTATAGCCCATGGACAGGACTGTTCATATTTTCTTTTTTTTTGGTTATTGAATAACACTGGTGGTTTGGATAAGGTTATAGGGGAAGGAGGAGGCCTCACTGGAGCCCCACTATAGCATGGGAACTCCAGTGCCTGCATAGGCACAGTGCTCAGGGGCACAGGTCCAGTGCCGGAGAGGGCAAACCTAAATGGCCAGGGTGGCCTGGTGCACCCGGGGGTGCAACTGTGTGTGGGTTTTTTTTGTTTGCTTCTTGGACTAGGACATTGGAGGTCCGGGGCCATTGCTCGGCTTCAAACTTGCAACCCCCTGGCTGTGGGGGCAGTGGATGGGCCTCTGGGCCAGGGAGGCTGTGCTCCAGATTGGAGCAAAAAGGAGGGCTACGAGCCCAAGACTAAAGAGCTAGAGCCTTGGAGTCAAACCTTATTTGGTGGGTTTAGATGGGGAGGCCTAACTAGAGAAAGACTGGGGTCAAGGCCAGTGTTGGCAGAGGACCCCAACATACAAAAACAATAGGCAGTCTCCCGTTTATAATATTTCCATCAAGACATGGCAGGCGAGTAGAGAGCGGGACACAAACCTTAAAGGGGACTTCAAGGGCACCCCACATAGGGTGCAGATAACAGGGAATATGGCACTGGGGAGGGCGACCTGTTACACCCACCAATCAAATATAAACAACAAAAGGGAGAGACATAGTGAACACAGTCAGCAGGTCTGTGGCCCATCATGGAAACAAACTTGGGAAACAAGCCTGAAGAGAATGTCGGGATCAAGAACCATCCACACCGGAGGGATGGCCGCTCAAGCATCTGGTGACCCACCAGAGGTTGGCGTAAGGAAGGGGTGTAGGGGAGGTGGAGCCCCACGAACATCCATCAAGAAGAATGACCGACCCTGAGGGACCTACAGAGGAAGACCCCTCCACTGAAAATACATTCAAAGTCATGGCAGGAGAGTTTAGGGGCTTCCTCTGGGGTGATCGAGGTCTGTCACAGTGGTCACATGAATCCTCACTGCACCCACCACCAGGCGTACATGCTAGGGCTGTGCGTGAATGGGTGTTCGAAGCCAGGTGGGCACAGTCTACATCCTTTCTTTTATGGGGGGGCCCAAAACTGAACACAGTACTTCAAATGTGGCCTCACCAGTGCTGAACAGAGGGAACTAATCACTACCCTCGATCTGCTGGCAATGCTTCTATCAATGCAGGCCCAGTATTCAAGAATATCAAGGTGAAGATTTCACATATTTTCTGGCTATTGAATTAAC